TTGCTCAAGGGGAGAAGGTAGAACCATGAAGGATGGGGCACTTGGCACAAGTACATGGCGTAGGAGAGACAAGGGAGGGTCATTCAGCCTCAGGGTCTTCGCTCAGGAGCTGAAGGGGTTGAAAGTCTTGTATGACCATGACCAAGTTACCATGGTTCTAAAACCGTGTGTGAGTCTCAACAGTCAAGGAGCATGTGCTGTGAGTGCCTTTAAGTGAACATTGTATTTGTTTCCTTCTAAGAGACAGAGCACAAGGGAGATGGAAGGACCATGTGCAGAGAAAAGGCACTCTAAATATTAGATAAGTGGAGAAAAGTTGGTAGTAGCAGACTTTTCCCCTAGTACTGGGGATTGAACCCGGGATGTGCTGAGCTACATCTTTTTTTTTTTTTTTTTTTGAGACAGGTCTCATTATGCAGTTCAGGCTGGCCTTGAACTCACAAAGATCTTCCTGACTCAGCCTCTTGAGTGCTGGGATTACAGGCATGTGCCATCAATACCAGACTACCCAGATACATTTTTATTTTGAGACAGGGCCTTGCTAAAACGCACAGGTCAAACTGGAACTTTCCTCTGAGTAGCCGGATTATAGGCTTGCACCACTGTGCTCAGTTCAGTAAGAGATTTTATGGGAATTTGGATTTTTTGTTGTTTTGTTTTGTGTTTTGATACAGGGTCTCTCTATATAGTTGAATTCAAGCTGGCCTTGAATACACTACACAGCACAGGCTGGCCTCCAACTCATGGCAATCCTATCTCAGCCTCCCGAGTGTTAGGGTTACAAGCATGTGCCACTACACCTGGCAGGAATTCAGATTTTTGATTCCTAGTCCAATGTTCTTTGCTTTATCTGAGATGGTGGGAAGAAAGTGCTAGGTCTGGATCTGCTGGTAGCTTTAATTCAGCATGTTAAGGCTGAAAAAGCAATATCCAAAACAAAATTATTTTTCATTCCTTGGCATTTTCCACATCTTCAACAATGAGCAAGCCCTACTCTTATAACAAGAAACACACAGGAAAATAAACAGATGGGCCAAGATGCGTGCTTCTGAGAGGGCTGCGGCTTGGATGAGGCTCTGGGCCCCGAGTGCATGGACACTCTCTGCTGCATCCCCCCAGCTACCTGGGGAGGGTGCGGGGAGAGGGCCAGGGCAGCTCCAGCGAGGCTGCCAGGAGCAGGTCCATGTGGAGTTCTCAGGATTCTGCGTCTGCAAACTCCCTGAAACTGGAAGCTGAAGCCTGTGTGTGCTGTTTCCAAGGTGAGGCGGAGACTTTCACAAAGGCAAACTCGTGACTGCCCAATGGGTCACTGCAGACTGCAATGACGAACAAAGCACCAGAGTCGAAGAAGGGCCAAGACCCTACAAAAATTCTTGCCTCACTCTCAATAACTGGTAGGGAAGAGAGAACAAAAAGTAGGATAGGGCTCTGCTCATGGACTCACAATTATTAATTTAAACTCTGCTTTTCTCCCCGAGCCCACCCTCACCCTGCTATTGCAAAGCAGTAGGGGGAAAAACACAGTTTTTATTTATTTTTGTTTGTTTGTTTGTTTTTGTTTTATTTTTTTTTTCTGGTACCAGGAATTGAACTCATGACCTCACGCTTGCCAGGCGGGCACTGTGCCAATGAGCTAAATCCCCAGCCCGAAACACAGTTTTTAGGCCATCATACTCTTCCAGTCTCAGACACCATCCTCTTCCTCCTAGACCTGTGCCTGATGAACCTGAGCTGATTTTAAGTCAACTGACTCAGTTGATTTCAAGTCCTCAGCTCTCAACGCCACCTCCTCAGCCGCTTCTGTGGTGCTGATCCCTGCTGGTGCTAGCTTCCTCCCTGGATGCCTCCTGAAGGACCAGCTGCCCTTGGCCCCAGCAGACAGAATTCCATTCCAGCTCTCAGCCCTTCCCACATCAGGGTACTGTGAGGGAGACTGGATGGTCAGGTACAGCCCCCAGCATGTGGCCTGCAGCCTGGAGGACAGAGAGCTGTCAGGGAGCGGAGGGGCAAGGGGTGGCTTCTGGGGGGTGCAGCAAGAGCTGGAGCTGTGTGAAGGTGAAGCATTCCTGAACGTAGGTGAAGGATTCCTGGGCAGGAAGGCAGGAACAAGGTTAGCGAGGTTACGGCCAAGTGGTCAGAATGAGGACCTTTGTGTCCCACTAAGGAATCTGGATTTTATCAGACACTGCGTAGGTGGCACCGAAGGCTTTTGAACAGAACAGGTAAGCTCTCTGCTCAGCTCTGCGCTTAAGAAGATCACTTGCAAAGAGCGAGCCAAGAGGGCTTGGGCACTGTGAGCAGAATGCTACTGTACAGCTGGCGGGGGGGGGTGTAGAAATATGCAGGATTCTTTGAACAAAAATTAAGAATTTGAAGCCAGCAACAGCAGTGCATTAAAACAAGGGGGAGGGGTCCTTTAAGCACAAGGCCCTGTGTGGCTGCCCAAGTCACACAGTCAGGAAAGCAGACCTGGAAAGCAGTCCCAACTTGGCGACCTACAACCTGGGAGGAGAGAGAGCAGTCTAGCAAGACAGCTGACAGGTGGCCTCCCGCACTGCTTGCCAGGCCACTCTACGGCTCGCTGGGCGCTCTTCCTGGGTGGCTGTGATCAGTCCTAGGGTGTTAAGGTCTGAACTTCACCCCTCCTCCTTTTCCTCTGCCCCTCCACCTACAAGATGGGAGGGCAGCGGTGGGGAACCTATGGCACGGGTGCTGCGTGGGCACCCAGAGAGCCCGCTCTGTCAGCACATGAGCCAAACTGCCCCAGCAGCCAAGCATCACGTAACAGTTGCTTGTTCTCTTACATTAAAGCCTTTCTATTCGGGTTTAATTGCAGCGTTGACACTTAAATAAGTAGATTTTGAAATGGGCTGCAGTTTGGGCACTCAGTCTTTAAAAGGTCCGCCATCGCTGCTATGGGGTCACTATCTAAAGGTACCGCCATTCACCCCGTCACCCCAGTTCAAATCTCCGCTACCACCCTCCCATGGGTGTCGCCCTCTACTCCTCTCTCCCTATCCCTCTTCCCTGCAATTTCCTCCCTAAATAATCCTAAATGTTCTCCCAGTGTGTGGCTTCTTCGCAGCTGTGATCACAACCAAGTTCCAGTAGGTCCTTTTCAGTCTGGGCCTAGATTTCCCACAACTTCCCTCCCTTTCCTCGGCTCACGCTGGACCCTTCTCACATAAGACATCCCTCCTTCATGGGACTGTCCCCAAATGCTAACCTGGCTAGGTCACTAAGACCCAAAGGAGATCAAAATGCCTTAAATAATGATGCAGAAGGCCCTGTGCCACCTGACCTGCTTTATTTTCTAATAAATGCCAGAAGTGCTAGTCTGCCACACACCTCGAGCGCATTTCGCATACCATGCAGGGTTGTTTTCTGTTTGTTTTTCCTTCACCTCAAGCAGTTTCCTCTGCCTGGAATGGCCTCTGCCTGCCTTTTCACAGCCTGGCTAACCTCACACACCCCGGGTGTTGCACTGGCCACAGAACCTCAGAGAGACCTGTGACTGGACCCGGCCTCCCTTCTGGGCTGGGGGCAGATGGCGCAGTCAGCACCCAACCCAAATCCTGGCTCCTGTGATGCTCCACGTGTGCATGGCTCCAGGCTGAAATGTCTGGCGTTGGAGACAGACAGGCTGGAGGAGGGGCACGTCGCCGGAAGGCTGGCACGGCTCACCCCAGAGAGAAAAAAACCTTACATCACGTTGTCTTCAGGACCTCACAAGCAGGATGAGGACAGCTGTGATCCAGAAGCACTGCTAGCTATCTTGGTGTCCAGGCTGACCGCATTTGATTTCAGAATTTGATTTCTGCTTTCTTATAAAAACCTAAAAAAAAAAAAAAAAACAACACCCCCAAAAAACAAACAAACAAAAAAACCACACCTCTCCCCCCATGTCCGCTGTATACAAGCCATCTCCAGCCGAGGCAGGCTGTTTTTCACTGAGCCGCCCGGCAGGGTTAGCAACCACATGACTGGTATGGCTGGGGGCAGAGACATATTTCCATCCCACGAGTCCCTGCAGCTAGCAAAGCCTTAGTAAACACTTGCAGAAAGGGTGAATCGTGTCTAGTTCCTCGGGAACGGGGGTGGGAAGCCTGAAGCTCCTGGGGAATGGAGGGGGCAGGCAGCAGAGGATTATACTTGATCCACAGATAATCCCCCAAATCCAGAAGCCACCTGGACAGCCGTGTACTGGAGTCAGATGCATGTTTATGTACTGCTGAGTTCATGACAGATCTCCCAGGAACCCGAGAAGTGTTCCTCAAAAAACCAAAACCAAAACCAGTTTACTATTCTCTTTACTACTGCAGGACAGGGAAATGGTCTGTCAATCCTTTTGAAGGCAGAATTCTTTGAGATTAATTGCTGCATCTTCTCCCCCTCTCCCGTTGTTACTTTTAGAAACTTTTATTATGGAAAATTTCAGACAGTATACTGCAAAGTGGAGAACACGGCAGCTCGAATCCCCAACTATCCACCACTCAGCTTCAGTGGTTTAACGACACAGGCCTGATCTCGCCACATCTGTCCAGCCCACCCCCGGAGGCAAATCGCAGATAGCATCTCCTTACACGCCTGAACACTTGGGTAGACCGGGGTCCGCTGCTGATTCATCTGAAGGCGCAGCCCCCACCAAATTCCCAGCCTACGTCTATAAAACAGAAAACCGGAATGCGCGGCGCCGGCGCCACCCCCTCGTCTGCTTCCTTCTCTTCCCGAACGACGTCGATCGCGGCGGCCGGGTGGCGTTCCCGACACCGCACCGGCAGGCCCGGGTGACGGCGAGCGAGGGGCCGAGTCCCTCTGCGCGGGGCCACGGGGCGCAGAGGTGGCGCCGTCCACTTCCTCCTCCCGCTGAGTAACGCGCGCCCCGCCCCGCCCGGGGGCGTGGCCCGCCGGAGGGGCGGGGCGATACCCATATTTGGCCTTATATGGGCAGCCACGTCACAGGCCTCACACTCATTCACATAAAACGCCGCGCTGCCGGCGGAATCCCCGGCTTCTGGGGCGACGAGTAACCGGGCCGGGCGCCGAGTGTGCGGGCCGGGAAGGAGCGGAGAGCGGCTCCTCGGGCGCCGGGCTCCATCGGCCGCCGCAGCCCCGCGGGGAGCCCTTCCGTGCGGGCCCGCGGGCACCCTGCTGTGGGCACCTGCGGGGCGCGCGGCAGCATGAAGGTCACGTCGCTCGACGGGCGCCAGCTGCGCAAGATGCTCCGCAAGGAGGCGGCGGCGCGCTGCGTGGTGCTCGACTGCCGGCCCTACCTGGCGTTCGCCGCCTCAAGCGTGCGCGGCTCGCTCAACGTCAACCTGAACTCGGTGGTGCTGCGGCGGGCGCGGGGCGGCGCGGTGTCGGCGCGCTACGTG